ATGAAGAATTATTAAAGATTTGTTTTTTTATTAAGATATAAATTTAATAATTAATTAATTTAAAAAATTTTTAATTTTTTAATTTTAAATTTTAATACTGACTTTATAATTAATATTATTACATAACGTAATTTTTAAATTTAACATCTTACTTTAACATTACAAAGATGTAATGAGAAAAGTAATAAATCGTTCCTTTTCAAGTAACAGTAACGGTGACACAGTTCTTTTATGAAGTAATGTTCCTAACCCTATATATATTTTAATATCAAATTTAAAAAATATGTTTCTGATATTTTAATAACACTATCATATACAATAATTGATTTAATATATTATATTTATATATAAATAGTTCAGAAAAATTTACAGACAGACCGATAATAACCAATAATACATACAATAATTACGGTAATTAGTGCAATTTAACAAAATAATAAACAATAATTACCTTATTTTAGACCGTATATGTGAGAATACAATCGATAAACTGAAAGCCTTTACCGATCAAAGCTTTAATGCTTAAATAATTCAATGTAAATTATTTTTTTTTTAATACATACTATAATATATACTATATCTTATGTCCCATTTTTATATCCCACTCCAAATAACTTTTATTCTTGATCTTAGAAAAAAATGTTTCAGACAAAAATTGCATAGCTTTGAGAGGGACATAAGATAGTATTATTAGTTTGACCTTGAATAGTTGCTTGAAGTTTACATGAAGGTTACCTTCAATTTCTCAAATGGAACTCCTCTTTTTATTACACATTCTTATATGTACAATAGATAGCCATCGGTTGGACACTTTGGGTAATCGTTACTCCCCTCAAATTGTAGGTCTGTTCACCCAGAACAAAATCCAGTTGAAACTCTTCTGGGATTTCCGGAACTACTGACTTATAGGGGTTTTAAAAGTTGCATTTAACTAGAAAACATTTTTTTACAAGTTTTAAAGTAGATATATCGCTTTGTGGTTTGGACATCCTCGAATCAAATGCCTCAATTTCACAATAAGAAAACTCTTTATTAGAAAATAAAATGAATACACAATAAAAAAAATATACTATATAATATATAATATATAGTTATAATAATATATAGTAATATATAGTTATAATATATAATTTATTTCAATTAATTAAATTATATTTTTTTGTATTATGTACTCATTTCATTGTCTAATAAAAAGTTTTTTTTTCGTCAAATTGAGGCATTTGATTTGAGGATACCAAAAAAGGCAATATACAT